AGCTGCTGCGCTGCTGCAGCGAAGTGCATTTGACAGCAGCAGCAAGGAGGGGCACAGCTTTTGCCTGTAGCCCCATTTTCGGTGTGTCTGTCTGTTTGTGCTTCCTGTGGCGCCGCCCATGGTAATCTTTCGTTGATTTCCAACTCTTTTGGAGCGACAGAATAACAGAAATAAGTTTTAAAGTTGTCCGCTCCGGGGCTGCGCCGCTCGCCGTTCAAGTGTACGCACACCGCAGCAGCAGCAGCAGCAGCAGCAGCAGCTAGCCATTTATTGCAAGAACCCCCCATGTATGCGCAGGGAAGCAGCAGCAGCAGCGCAGCTCACTGCCTGCGTAGGCTTTCAGGCAGCAGCAGCAGCGGCAGCTGCTTCTGCTGGGGGAGGCGCAGCTGCTGCTGCCGCCGCCGCTGCAGCGGGGCCGAGGGGCGCGAAGCGCCAGGCTCGAACAGCGCAGCAGCAGCAGCAGCAGCAGCGACAGCAGCTTGCTCTCCCAAGTTGCCTCCACAAAAAAGCTGAAGGTGGGCAGCTAGCATTTTCTCGGCTAGCTACTTTGTGTCTGCTGCTATTTGCTGCTATTTGCTGCTCGAAGGCCCGGCTGCCAGCCACGAGGCAGGTTCCTGATAGACGCTGCTGCTGCTGCAGCAGCACCAATGCGCTGCGGAGGTGCAGCAGCCCCACAACTAGACGAATGCTGCAAAATGGGCTATGGGCAGCAGCAGCAGCAGCAAGGCGAACAAACAGCAGCAGCGGCAGGAAAAGAGCAGCGGAAGAAGCAACAAAGCGCGGAGCTTAGCGAAAACGTAGAGTTCGGTGCAGCAATACGCCTGAAAAGTTTGCTGCTGGTGCCATCCCTGTGCTGTTGCAGCAGCAGGGCAGCAGCACTGCTGCTGCTCTGCGCGTCTCTTTGCTGCTTTGCCAGCGGCGCGGCGAGCCGGGCTGCAGCATTTGCCAGCCGCAGTCCCGCCGCCGCCGCAGCAGCAGCAGCAGCAGCAGCGCAGCGCCCCTGGCATCCCCGCCGCTTCCTCATGGCGGGCTGCTGCTGCAGCAGGCGCCCCCGTAGCTGCTCCTTTCCCGGCGTCGCCGCAGCGCAGCAGCACCGGCGTGTTTGCTGCACCTTCCGCAGCAGCGCAGCAGAACTCACGTCTGCTGCACTTCCCCGTTCGTGGCCGCAGCGCCGCCGCAGCACTGCAGCACCGCCGCAGCGCCGCCGCAGCGCCGCGCCGCAGCGCAACTGTGCAGCAGCGCAGCCGCAGCGCAACTGTGCAGCAGCGCAGCAGCAGCGCAGCAGCAGCAGACTGGCGGGTTCACTGGAACTTGTCGTCTGTGAAGTACTCTTCGTCGAAGGAGTAGAGGCGGACGTAGCCGTCTTCTCCGCCAGAGGCGTAGCCGCTGCCGTCTGGCTTCCAAGCCAGCGTGTGCAGCGGCCCGAAGTGGCCTTTGCAGCTAGCGATTTCTTCGCCGCGCACTACGTGGTACAGCAGCGCCTCGAACTTGCCTTCCCCGCTCGCTGCGCAGTGCATTCCGTGCACACTTGGACCCTCCGGAGGTTTGTTCGTGCCCGCGAAAGTGCTTTCCAGATGGAGAAACCCTTAAGTGTTTATGCATCTTATAAACCCCTTATTCACCCCTTTTAACGCGCGCTTACGCGCGTTCAAACCGCCGCGCAGGTCCACTTCGCCGCACGAACTTGCATTCAGTCTACACCTTGAACCCTTCAAGGGGTGCGTATTCATATAAAGTGCTTTTGTTCCTCTTGGCCCCTTGAAAAGTGTTTAATTACTTTATTCAAACCTTTGAGCATGCATTTACTCGCATTCAAACCGCTGCGCAGGTCCACTCCGCCGCACGAACGCAAATTCAATTTAGTCCTTTTGAACCCTTGAAGGGGTGTTTGTTCATATAAAGTGCTTTTGTTCTTATTAACCCCTTGAAAGGTGTTTATTCCCTTTATTTACTCCCTTGAAAGTGCGTTTCTTCACATTCAAACCGCTGCGCAGGTCCACTCCGCCGCAAGCAGCATCAATTTGTCTTTTGGAACCCTTGAAGGGGCGTTTGTTCAGATTCGAAAGCCCTTTTGTTCGCATTAACCCCTTGCAAAGGTATTTATTCAGACTTAGAAGTGCTCTTGTTCCCATTTAGTCCATTTAGTCCTTGGATAGCGCATTTATTTGCATTCAGCCCTTTGAAAGTGCAACAATTCCCATTCAACCCTTTCAAAGAGCATTTTTCCGCAGCCAAATTCAATTCAATTTAGTCCTTTTGACCCCTAGAAAAGATATTTTAGATTCAAAAGCACATTCGGTTCCATTGATCCCTAAAAATTGTGTTTGTTCAGATTTGAAGGTGCATTTGTTCCCATCAGCCCTTTGATAGCGCATTTATTCGCATTCTACTTTCAACTTCAATTCAGTTTCATTCAACTCCTTCAAAATGCATTTATTCGCATCCGACTTCTTAAATTCAATTCGTTTCCATTTGATCCTTTGAAAGCCCAATTACTCCAATTTCAAAGCTCACTTATTCGCAATAAGCACTTTGAAAGTGCACAAATTCACATTCAATTCTTCAAATTAAACCCACTTTCATTCAACTCTCTAATAACGGAATTATTCGCATTTGAAGGCGCATTTACTTGCATGCAGCCTTTTGAAAGTGCACTTATTCGCATTTAGCCCTTGGGAACTTCACTCCTTTTCATTTAACCTTTTGAAACTTCACTTCTTTTCATTCAACCCTTTGAAGTTGCACTTCTCCGCATTCAATCCTTTCTTCAAATTGAACTTCTTCAAATTGAACTCATTCACATTCAGCCCTTTGAAAGTGCATTACTTCGCATTTGAAATCGCATTTATTAATATTCATCCTCTGAAACTGCATTTCCCCGCATCCAACTCTTTGAAGTTGCACTTCAAAGAGTTGGCATTCAACCTTTTGAAATTATATTTTTTCATATTCGAAATTTTAATATTTCATTTATTCACTTTCAACCCTTTGAAATTGCACTTCTCCCCATTCAACCCTTTAAAAGTTCTCATTATTTCACATCCAGTCCTTGGAACTTGCACTTCTTCACTTTTAGGCATTCCAAATTGCATTTATTTCCACACAACCCTTTAAAAGTGCTTCTTAGTGCTCATTATTTTCTGCTGTTGGTGAGATTTTTAGTGACAGAGCAGCTGGGGCCCCACGGATGCAGCCGGGGGCCCCTGCAGCCAGCACGCAGAGATTGGGGGAACGCTGCTGCTGCTGCTGCTGCTGCGCTGCTGCTGCAGCGTTGTCCATGTGGACGGACACCCACAGTCATGAAATCAAAACCCAACTCAACAGACCACTCATGCTTCCGCAGTTCATGAAAGCACACAAGCCGCAGCCGGAAACCCAAAGGAGCAGCAGCAATGCCCACAGCAGCAACAGCAGCAGCAGCAGCAGCAGCAGCAACGCAACGGCAACTTGCCTGTAGTTGTGACATCCTCAGCCGCCTGTCCGCCACCCAGCAGCAAGTGCAGCTTCCGCTCGGAGCCAGGGTGGGTCAGCAGCGGACTCAGCGCGCAAGAGTTCAATGGCCGGTCGGTAGTGTACGTCTGCAGCAGCAGCAGCAGCAGCAGCAGCAGTGAGCGGATGCCAGGCAGCAGCAGCCACAGACGCAGCAAAGGGCGCCTCCTGCCAGATTTCTACAAATGGAAAAAAGTTTACCTTCAAACACTCCCAGTCCTTCGTTGACCATAACTTTGCTGTGCCGTCTGAGCAGCTCTGAACAGCAGCAGCAGCAGCAGCAGCAGCAGATAAATAATAGAAAAGATAGAGCAACGAACCCACCGCCGCCGCAGCAGCGCGTGGACGTTGTCGCGGCAAAGCCAGCAGCAGCAGCAGCCACCAGCAGCACCGCCGTCACCGCTACAGCAGCACACCCAGCAGCAGCAACGACGACAGCAGCAGCAGCAGCAGCAGCAGACCGTGAGGGCCAGCATTCTGTCGTCAGAGAAACTCATGCACGTGATGAGGGACTTGTGGCCGCGCAGCTCGCTGATGTACTCGCCGGTTGCAGCGTCCCACACCTGCAGACACACCCCCAAACCCTAAACCCTAAACCCTAAACCCTCGCTACTCCCTAAACCCTCGCTGCGGCCTCCGCCTGCTCGGCTAGAGAACGGGCTTGCTGCAGGGCGCGATTGTGGAGGGTATATCCTAGGGTTTAGTGTTTGCGAGGGTTTGGGGTTTGAGCGTGAAGCGCCGGCCGCAGCGCTTGCAATGCCGGCCCAGCGTTGCTATGTCGAGGGTTTAGGGTTTAGGGTTTAGGGTATGGCACCATGATGTCCCCGTTTTCGTGAGTTGATATTACTGTCTCGTCGAAGGGGCCCCAGTGGACTTGAATACACCTTGCAGCAAAGTCGTCTTGTATCCACAGCCGCTTCGGGGTCTCCCCGTCCACCTGCGCACAAACCCTAAACCCTAAACCCTAAACCCTAAAGCCTAAGCCCTAAACCCTAGGTGTCTGGGCAGGCTGCGCAGTGGCAGTGCGCCAGAGCGTCGGCCGCCCGCAGGCCGCGGCCAACCTTCATAAGGGTTTACAGGCTAAGGAGGCCCAGAACTAGCGAGGGTTTAGGGTTTAGGGTTTAGGGTTTAGGGTTTCACCCTCCAAGCCTTAATGGCCTTCTGGTTGGCCCCGAAGTTGTCGTGGGCGAGGACGAACTTGGTCTGCTGGGTGGGCATGCGGCACCACTCCACAAACCTGCAGCGCAAACCCTAAACCCTTAACC